TAAGTTAGCAAGCAAATTGTGAATTTTGATGGGGTCAGTTTGCCCATCACTAGTAATGGCTAGGTTAATGGAAGAGCATGAGAGTAGTCAGGGGCTACTCCTGAAGCATATTCTCCTATACTGAGCACTATGCACAGTGCTAGATTGAGCACTTGCAGTCAAAGCTGAATCTTGGCTTTGTAGCAGAAGCATGTGAAAGGCAAAGGCAATGCAATATCTCATGCTTGACAAATTATGAAACACACAACAGACCACTAATGGAAAAAGTGTATTAAAATATTCACAAGAGTACAATAGAAAACATGTAAATATCCAATGTGATGTGTGTCCAACTTAGAAGCAAGTCAAAACAAGTATGTTACCACTAGTTCCTGCTTTAACTTTACAGAGACCTTGTAGAACAATCCCTTGCCCAAAATTATACACCTATTTTATAGGTGTTTACCCCTTTTGCCCCACCCCGCCAATCTAGCAGCATCATAGTGTGGTGCCCTCATAGTGGTGCTTTCCAGAAGGTAGCCAACTGCCTGTGCAGCAGCTGCATTTGAGAACATAGGGAAGGAAGGAAAGGAGACTGTACAACAACTTAATACAAAATGCAATTCCAGTTTTTTAAAAGTGCAGAAACAAGGTAGAAAAGGGCTCAGTAGCTGCATTCTGTGAAGTTGTATAGAGCCAAAAGAGATCTTGAGAAGAAGGTCCAAGGGTTGGGGAACTAAGTTTCACAAGTGGGAGTCCTTTGTTAGATCTTGATTGCCTTTCACAGAAAAGGGCATCTAAATTGAGCACCATAGGAAAATTGCCCTTTCACTGAGGCGTCTCCTAGATTTTAACTAGGAAACAGTTTTAATAAGGGGGGATGAAACTTCTACCCATCACACACAAATAGAAAAATGTGGTTTTAAAAGGCTTGGTCGATACAAGAATAAGGTAAAACTCTGAATGAGACTTGACAGACTTCAAGGCTCATCTGTTGATGACTGAACACCTGCTCACTTCACCAGAACAACTGACTGTACACAAAAAGGAAAGCCTTTGGAGTTTTGTGAATACAGAGCAAGTTACAAGACAGATGATCACCTCAACTACTTCAAATAATTAAGACAAAACTTTTTATAGTTTCCCTATTCACACTGAAATGTTGATACTGCAGACCCACAAAGCACTCTAGCAAGAGACAAAGCTTCATGAACAAATAAGATAGAACTCCTACAGTCTGAACGATCTTCCCCAAACCCTACTGGGATAAAAGCACTCTACCTATTCAAACATGGTTATCTGCCATGAAGAACTTCTATTGAACAATATTCTACTGAGATGAAACATGAGGGGTACAGTTGTTAAGGAGTCAAAACCTAGTAGCAACACTAGCCTCTACTTGCCTTGTCTCTCTCTCTTAAAAAAGGGCACTGCACCTCCACTAAAATTGATGGCAAACTGGTTTTTAACAGGGTTAGACCACACTTTTAAGTTAGAAAATATACTATTTACAAATAAGATTATAACATGGATCATACCTTCAGGCATGTTAAAGGATGTAAATCCCCAAGATGCCACAATCTCTCATGAATAGAGGTTTTCAGCTTGAACGGCTACTAGGAAAAGTCACACTTGTTCCAATTTTACTGTTCAAGCCACATAACTTCTGTCGGGGGAAATGTAGCCCCTTTAGTGTTCTTGTGCTTGCCAAGTTGTCTGCTACTAAACTCAGAAGAGGAGCAACAAATGAGAGGACAACAAACCCAAATTCTCTCCTGCACTATAAACCATATTCAGGATCCTTTCAAAATGCTGAAAAACAGGTGCATGTCACACAAAAAAGGGTCATCATGCTGCCAGCTCCAATTGCTGATGAAGCAAAGTGTCAAGAGTATCAGGCAAAGATGAAAGAAGAAAGAAAAAATAGTGACTTGCTTTTCTAGTAATAAGGTGCTAGAATTAAAATATTACATTAAGTTCTATAATATTCTGAAAACATTGAATAATAAATTGTTTTCTCCTACACAGCTCATTTGGCTGCAAGCATTCACAAGTCACTGTAGTTTGCATCAGATCAAAGTATGCAGAGTAGTGATTAGTTGATCGTTATAATTGAAGCAAGTCTTTCCATTAAGTTATTTTTTCTGGCATTCCTCATTTATTACTTATACCCTACCCATCTGGCCAGGCCTCCCCAGCCACTCTAGGCGTCTTCCAACAGAATATTAAAAACACGATAAAACATCAAACATTAACAACTTCCCTAAACAGAGCTGCCTTCAGATGTTTTCTAAAAGTCAGGTAGTTGTTTATTTCTTTGACATCTGATGGGAGGGCATTCCACAGGTCGGGTGCCACTGCCGAGAAGGCCCTCTGCATGGTTCCCTGTAACCTCACTTCTCACAGTGAGGGAATTGCCAGAAGGCCCTTAGCGCTGGACCTCAGTGTCCAGACTAAATGATGGGGGTGGAGATGCTCTTTCAAAAATACTGGGCTGAGGCTGTTTAGGGCTTTAAAGGTCAGCACCAACACTTTGAATTGTACTCGGAAACGTACTGGGAGTCACTGAAGGTCTTTCAGGACTGGTGTTATATGCTCTTGGCAACCACTCCTAGTCACCAGTCTAGCTGCCACATTCTGGATTAGCTGTAGTTTCTGGGTCACCTTCAAAGGTAGCCCCCACATAGAGCACACTGCAGTAGTCTAAGCGAGAGATAACTAGAGCATGCACCACTCTGGCGGGACAGTCTGCGGGCAGGTAGGGTCTCAGCCTGCGTACCAGATGGAGCTAGTAGACAGCTGCCCTGGACACAGATTTGACCTGCACCTCCATGGACAGCTGTGAGTCCAAAATGACTCCCAGGCTGCACACCTTGTCCTTCAGGGGCACAGTTACCCCATTCAGCACCAGGGAGTCCTCCACACTTGCCCGTCCCGTCCCCCCAAAACAGTACTTCTGTCTTGTCAGGATTCAACCTCAATCTGTTAGCTGCCATCCATCCTCTAACCACCTCAGGACACTCACACAGGACCTTCACCGCCTTCACTGGTTCTGATTTAAAAGAGAGGTAGAGCTGGGTATCACCCGCATACTGATCAACTTTCAGCCCAAACCCCCTGATGATTTCTCCCAGCCCTTCATATGGATGTTAAAAAGGATGGGGAGAGGACAGAACCCTGAGGCACCCCACAAGTGAGAGCCCAGGGGTCTGAACACTCATCCCTCAACATCACTTTCTGGACATGGTCCAGGAGGAAGGAGCAGAACCACTGTATAACAGTGCCCCCAGCTCCTCTAGACGGTCCAGAAGCATGTTATGGTTGATGGTATCAAAGGCCGCTGAGAGATCCAGCAGAACTAGGAAACAGCTTTCACCCTTGTCCCTAGCACGCCGGAGATCATCAACCTGCGTGACCAAGGCAGTTTCAGTCCCATGATGAGGCCTGAATCCCGACTGGAAGGGATCCAAATGGTCCGCATCCTCCAGGCATGCCTGGAGTTGTTCAGCAGCCACCCACTCAGTCACCTTGCCCGAGAATGGAAGATTTGAAGCTGGGCAATAGTTGGCCATATTGGCCAGGTCTAAAGAGCTTTTTTTTTAAGAAACGGTTTCATGACTACCTCTTTCAACTGGTCTGGGAAGCCTCCCTCACAGAGAAAAGCATTCACGATCCCACCGAGTCCTTGTCCAGCCCTTCCCGGCTCACTTTTATCAGCCAGGATGGGCAAGGATCAAGGAGACAATTGGTTGGTTTCACTCGTCCAAGCAGCCTGTCCACATCCTCAGAGGTAACAGATTGGAATTGATCCCATGCAACTTGACTAGACAGGACTCTAGCTCTCTCCCGCCCTGACCCTGCTCCCACGGTAGTCTACCTCTTTCCGAATCTGAGCGACTTTATCTGCAAAAAACTTTGCAAAATCATTGCAGGAGATCTTGGCAAACCCAATGGCAAACCCTAATCCAATGGCAAAGGTTGTTCCGTTAAATTGCGAACCACCTAAGAGAGTCTCCTGCTGCTGTTTTCTGCAGATGCAATAGAGGCGGTGAAGAAGGTCTTCTTCGCTGTCACTATCGCCACTTGATAGGCTCGACGCTGAGCTCTAACATGTATCCGGTCTGATTCAGAATGAGTTTTTTGCCACTGGCACTCCAGCCATCTCAGCTATTGTTTCATCGCCCTCAGCCCTGGAGAAAACCACGGGGATGTCCGGGCTCCATGCAATCAGAGACGGCGCTTCGGAGTCAATAGCCCTGGTTAACTGCATTCCAGCAGGCCACCAGGGAATCACCTGAAAGGCCATCAACATGGGATAAACATCACCTACAACTCTCTGGAAACCATTTGGATCCATTAAGTGGCGGGGGCGGACCATCCAAATCAGTCCCACCTCCCTGCAGAAGAGAAGGGTCGCAGAGAAGTCCAGTTGCACCAGGAAGTGATCCAACCATGGCACTTCTTTGGTTTCACTTTTACTTAGTGTCAGATCACCCACATCCATAGAAGTGAACACCAAGTCTAAGGCATGCCCACGACTATGAATTGGGCCAAACTTATTCAGGGACAGCCCCATGGAGGCCATGCTTTCCACAAAGTCCCGAGCGGCCCCTTATAAGGTTGTGTTGGCATGGATGTTAAAATCCCCTAGGACAACCAGAATAAGACACCAGGAGAACATTCGCCACGACCTGAAGCAGCTCGGGCAGGGAATCCTTGGTACAGCGGGGAGGTCAGTACACCAAAAGGAATACTGTACTGCCCCTAGTGCCCAGCTTCCAGAACCTGCACTCAGAAAACTGGGTCTTCCCAATAGGACGCCTGGTGCAAGCTAATGACTTCCTAAAAATCACTGCAACGCCCTCCTCCCCACCCATATGACCTGGGTTGCTGTGCATAAGAGAAATCTGGTGGCCAAGCAACTGCAAGAACAGGCCCATCTGCTTCATCCAACCAAGTCTCTGTTACATACACCAAGCAGAAACAGTTGCAAAGTGGTTATGAGCCATGACAAACACTTGTGTTGCAGTAGGCAAGAAATCCACCCTTCTGCTTTTATTGCTCCTCCTAGCGACAAACTACGCACACTCCCATCGGGCTGTATACACTACAAGAGGTAGCTGCAAAGCAGAGTGGCCCAAATTCTACCTTGTGTGGTCTACATTTGTTTTTAGCTAGAATCCTTATGATCCACTGATGTGTTTTACATTAATAAAGCAAGAATGCATATTCAGGGTGTCTTAACCGTTAAGGCATAGCTTATCTGCATTGTGTGGTCCTCCTGTTCAACAGCATAAGATGTTCTCCATCATACCACAATCCACCTAGTCCAACATTCTTTGTGCACACAAAACATCCCAGTAACCCACCAGGTGCTAGGTGGTCAACCAGGAGTTTGCAGACCACCAAGGGACTGCAATCTGTCAATCTACCTTCTGCCAAACCCTGTTCTGAAGAGGGCAAGGAGACCAGTGCAGTACTGGAGAAAATTGAAAAAGCACCTAAGTTTTTTCAGTCCCACCCTGACTCCCCAACTGAATAAAGATTGAAAAGTCAAAAGGAATTCAACAGGCTCCTTTCAACAGTGACACTAAATGAGCATTAAAAGAGGAGCCTCATAAAACTAATCAACCTCTAAAATGGCACGTGGGTGTATTCAGATTAGCATTAAGTGTCACCTTTCATTAACTTTTGTCCCTCACTGTTCAAGACAAATCTTCACAAGTTGCTCATTCATCTACACTCCTGCAACGTTTTTGTTTTGTAGGGGGCAGGGTGCAATTCTAGGATGAGTATGTGCAGTCGTGTATAAGATGACGAACCTACTGGATCAGGCCAGTGGCCCATGTAGCCCAACATCCTGATCTCACAGTGGCCAATGAGATGCCTGCAGGAAACCTGCCAGCCCTTGCCAGCCCCAGTAAATGATGTACTGCATGCAAAAACCAGTAGGTGGAGGTGAGACTAACAATGGCATGGCCAATTTCATTTATGGTAAAAGAAAGTAAGACAAGCAGTACCCAAGGCATCTATGATGAATGGGTGCATGTGTACAATGGCATAATTTTACTGTTTAGAAAGGAGGAAAAACTCCAATAAAGCTTCAGTGAACACCAGCACTTCAGCCCTGTTCAGGTTTTTTTAGACTCAAGTGCCACCAAGTTCAAGGGAACTTACTTTCCTAGTAAGTGGATTTAGGACTGCAGCCTAAGTCTACTGAGATCACAGGAGACAGCAGTAAAGATGGCCTTAGCACAGAAGAGTCGCTAATCGAATTTTTCTATTTTGGAAAAAAAAATCCATTAAGGAACAAGGGATTAATGCTCATACAGGCATACCTCATTTTAGCAGCGATCCTGCTGTGGAAATGCACTCACCGCATTTGGGCAAAAGTACAATGTCCCCTTCTCTTGGCCCAAGCTTTAGGGAAAGCCTGCTTGTTTGGCTCTGCAGAGTGCTAACTGGCCAGCCTTTGGGTCAATCATAAAGTTTCATCTGCTACCATTCACACTTTCTTAAACTTTTAAGAAAACTCCACTGCACAGATAAACATGCAAGGGCCTTGGGAAGAGGAGGAGGAGGAGGAGGAGGAGGAGGAGGAGGAAGAGAACTGGACAGGCTGTCTGAAACAATGAAGAGGAGGAGGAGGAGGAGAAAGAGAACTGGACAGGCTGTCTGAAACAATGTAGAGGAGGAGGAGGAGGAGGAAGAGAATCGGTCAGCCTGTCTGAAACAATGGTTTGAGGCAGGAAGGGAGGAGAGAACAGCAGATGATTTGGAGGTTGTGTGCCCTTATAAGAACAGAGCGGCAACAGAGCAGAGCTAACCCCACAGTAGAGAAATCCACAGTCCTTTCTGTTTGAAGGTAAATCTGCAGTCTGAGAATGAGTAACAATAGAATCTTGGCCCTCACCTCTTGAAACAGGAAGTGTACTACTGGCCTACTCTATCATATATGGCTTCCATGAAGCACTCCCCTCCATGGAATTAGATAAAACATTAAGAGGTAACTTGTAAATTCTAACTTTCTTTCTGCAACAGCTACATCCCAATAAGCCTTACTAAAAGCAGCCCAAGGTAAGGGTATTCTAGAAAGCCATATTAGGATCAGACTAAGTTCATTCAGCACCACTTCACTACCCTATTTTCTTCAAAGACAAAACTGAATACCACTTTTATTGCAGAAAAATCACCAGCGGGAAATAAAAATTAGAGGGACTTCTTGTTAATGCTTCATGATTGAAATGACCAAATGAAAATGTCTAAAAGCTATTGGGGTGGGGAGTGCGCTGCACCAAAAAGAGACAAAGGTTAGTTAATGCCCTGAAGATAGAACTTTGGCTTCAGCCAATACGAGGACCAGGCTGGAAACTGAAGGCAGGGGAGGGCTTTCCGACCCTACTGTAGAAAGAGGTAAGTGGGAATTGGGAATGAAAGACAGGAGTGAATTTATATGAAACTGTGTGGAAAGCACCAGAATAGGAAAAGAGAATCCTCATGCAGAAACACTTATCCTCAAGTCTATTTCATCAAAAGAAATCAATCTTGTAAAAAACAAAGTATCAAATCCATTAGCCTATCCAGGAATTTTCCAGTTTTTCCATAGAACAGAGAAATCACTTAAAGGTGTAATATGAATATTTGCTTTCTTCCTCTTATCCTAGATAAAAAAAAAAATTAGCAATTTATAAGCAGAATTCATATCATATTTCAACATGCAACATTGGTCTCAGTTCTGTACGATTTAAATAGACTATTTACACACAATACATATATAATCTCTTTCTCTCTGTATGCACATGCATTGGTCCTAGCCTAGGCATCAAAGGCCACATGTGAGTTCTCTGGGTCAATCTTCTTCAAGCGATTCCAGTTTGAATTTTTGTTTAGCTTTGGGTTGGTTGGGATTTCCTCAGTTCTTCCGAATGTCAGCATAGACGACAGATTCCGACTTGTTGATCTTGTCACTGTAACGCCCTCCGGAGTGATCTAACTGCGCATAAATTACTGGGCCCTAAAAAAAAGAAATAGAGAGTAAGCAAACTGGTGAAAGAGCATGATTCCTTCAGTACATTGCTGGCAGGCAGTGTAAAGACAAAATTAATCTATAGATTAGGAAGTTAATGAGCATTAAGCAGACAAAACTCTATTAAATGTACACAAGACACACATTTCCCCCCTCTTTTATCTGTTTGGGTCTATCTATAAACTATGCAAATCAAGTTGACTTTTTAAAGAAATTAATCTACTGCGATAAAGTCCTGCAAAAAAAATCCACAAATATTTTCTTATAGAAATCTGGCACTTCATTCTTCAGGTAGATGGAATTGCTTGTAGCTTTCAGAACAATTCACTGAACAACAGAGCAGCGAATGGATTGATATTTTGAAAGAGTACATCAAGAATTCACAGACCGGCTAAAATCAGCTCATTCAATAGGCTCCATTTGTGCTGAATCAGACAGGGACGTGTCACCTTAGCAGTATTTTTCTTGGGAGCTGCTGCAATATACTAAATTAATACAACAGGTTGGAATTTTAAATTTCATCTACAAGGCTGAAAATTGTGCTCCTCAAACTGCACTTCATCCAGATTGTCTTCACACTGACAATGAATCAACTTTGGGGGCATACACACTCAAAGCTCCTTTCCTCTTCTTTTAGCAGAAGCTGGCAAACAAACCAGGAAGACTTTCATTAACTACAGTTAATAGTAATATCCTGTTTTAGAGGGAAAAAGAAACAGCTTCAGAACAAGAAGGATACTAGCCAACTTCAAATTGTGGCTTGTTTTCAATCTGTTAACCAGAGATTTCTGGTTCAGACAAAATGGGAAACTTAATGGAAGACTTCCTGGCTGCCAACTTGCATAAGGATGAGTGAAGAATCTGTGTCTACACACCCATCTTGGGTTATCATCATGCTCATCCAAAAATTGTCTTTCAGAAATACTATCGGCTTTTTGTGAGTCAGTATTTTTCTGCATCTGTCTGCAGTGTCCACAAAGACACTGCAATACAAGAAGTTTGTCAGCAAAAACCAAAAGCAAAGACTGTCCAGCAACTCTTACACCTCTAGATGGCAGCAATGCTCGTGGAGTATTTAAAAACAAACAAATGAGAAACCAACAGGGAGTTGGAAGAATAATCCGTAATTTTTTATGCTCAATAAGGCTGTGTAGCCCACAAGGAATCAAGCTTTAAAGGAGGCATGATCTTGGCAACACTCAAATCTAAAATTACATTCACCAATGTTTAATTGGCTTACCATTCTTTCCCACAATCAGCCACAACAACTCTCTTTGGAAATGTGCATTTTAAAAATATCAATACAGTTTAATTATAAGGAAGACTAGAGGATCAATAGTGCAGTAAGAAAGCACTTTAGGAGCCAGTTCAGAGGAAGAAAGTAGTTGGGAATGGCTAGCTGGGAAGACACATATTCTTCAGCTGCAGACAGTGAAGTTATGGCCAAAAGTATAAATGTTTTCTTGAACATACAAAACTGTAGTATGTATAGCAAGCTTCTTCCATAAGCCACACAGTTCACCAAAGGTTTTCAACACCATTACTGGATCTAAGGCAGCTTCTTGTGGAAGCCACATGAATGAGTCATGCTCTGCACGTTTTTATTCCTGTTTGCTTTACAAATGAATTTGTTGTTCTTTCATATAAGACCACAACTCTCTCACGTCAACAGATGCTACTCCAAAGGCTAATGCCCCGAGTTCTTGGAACTCAGCCAAGACAAAGGACAATCATCTTTTCTTCTATATCAAAGTACTGGCCTTTTAAAAAAGCTTTTCCTTTGAATAATACCAAGTTCCTTGTTTAGAGACCGTCTGCTAGTTCCTACAAAACTACAGAGGATTCAGATAATGGGGGAAGAGAGGATTCAGATAATGACATATTTGCCTGGAAAATATCAAGAGATCGCTGTCCATATGCAGGAATTCAGAACAAATATGTGAGCCTAACTATAATAATAATTCAATTAAGTATATATAGTAGCTAGTTGATGGAAAACATCATCTGGAAGTATTGCTCTGAAGAGTTGCTCACTGAGAATGACATCTTTTCTTTTTTTAAGTTGTTCCAATAGCTTTCCAATGTCTGTCTACTCCTATGCATCAGACACAGGACAATATGCAGATTTTACCAGGAATATATGTGTCCCATACAACAAAAGCACTAAGTGGTGTGTAGGCTATCCAAGTATCGGAAGAAAGGAACCAGATGTGTGGCTTAGAAGTTAGAAGTAGAAAGTTTTACATCTGAAATTGCATCTGCCTATCAGAGGAGAAGCACAGGTTAATAGAGTCAGGTACAAAAGCACTCTTTGGAATAGGACACAAGAGGGATACAGTCTTCTTTCTAATTTATCAGTTATACATATGGGGTAACTTAGATAATCAGCCAGTTATGCATTAGATCTAGAAATAAGAAAACATTGACAATTATCACATTCAAAATGAGCAAACACTGTACAGCCAAACAACAGAGAGGAATGAGAACCACTAGGACATTTGGTACCAGACAGACATGCACAGTTGTGAGAAATAGATGACATCTCAAATGAATTCACTGGTACGGACAAGAGTGAAAGCAAACCCAATGAGCAATCAGCCAGCCTCAAGATGCAGTGAGCCAAACAAGACAACTCTGATGCATGCTGTTTGAAACACAACCTCAGGCAATAAGCTTCCTGCTTTCACAACCATTACATTAACTTCAGGATTTAAAATATGTAGGAAGGAAATAGCAAACTGGTAGACTAGACAGATAGACTGGGTAGTATCTTTTGCCCTGTTTCTAAAGTAAACCATTGTAATGAAATGTTAATTTCTCCCTCCTTTCCTCCACTACTTACTTAAATAAATAAATAAATAAATAAGAAAGAACCTCTCATCTTCTCAACAATGTAAATATCCCATTCCTATAGAGAAGCTGCAAACCAAGAGTACTTCCTGGAAACAGGACACTCCTCTTACAGCAGCCTTCTAATTTTGCTCCAATATATTAAAAATATTCCACAATACCACTACTGTGCTTTCAGTAAGAAAAGAAGCAGATGTCTGCATGTAAAAGTCAACTCACTCTGGTATACTTAAAAACAAAAGCACTTCCATCTACCTCCATGTTCCCCAGACATTATCTACTAGTCCCAAACACATTAATAAATAAGGCATGTGAACCTCTGTATATTCCTGTTTAGGCTAGAATAAAAATAAGTGTTTCCACTTGCCAGATTTTGTTTATTGTGGCTCCTGTCATATCCATATTACAGTAACATTAGAAATAGCTTGTAAGATGCATGGCTATGTGCAAGTTTCATGTGCACACAACCTCCCCAGATAAGACTATTGAAATGCATGTCTTCATGGTGCTATTGACTTTGTAAGAGTCTACACAATAATGTTTTTGTTTTGTTTTAAAGTGTGTAAGAAGCAGGCCTACAGTGTTCAAAATCCTATGCTTCCCCTATTGTAGATAGCTGGCAAAAACAGTCTCTGAACCAGAACTAACTTCACCCAACAGCCAAGACTTGCTTGTCCTGGAAGCAACAAGGAAAAACCAGTGGCTTCGTTCAATATTGTTGCCCCTTTCAAAGAGCACCTAATACCACCAGCTTCAACCAAGTGAAGAGGATCGCCAGGAATGAACTATGCCTTAAGAACTTCCTAAGAACTTCTCTTTATTTATTACAGGGGTGGAAAACCTGCAGCCTTCTAGATGGTGGACTCCAACTGCCATCACTCCCAGCATACACAGCTAATAGTCAAGAATGATGGGAGTTGGAGTCCAACAACATCTGGTGGGTCGCAGGTTCCTTACCCTGCTTTATTAAACTGAAATGTTAATTTGTATAGTAATGTCTCAAAGGTCTATATTGTCATCTAGCCATTTCATTTTCAAATAGTTTTATAAATATTTTATAAAAATCTATCTTTTCAATATATATTTTTTAACAAAATCCTTTCCTGCATCTCAGCCTCACTACAGCTCTATTCTGATACCCATAGCTTTCAACATATTTTGACAGACTAAGATGTTCAAGTTGATACAATTTGGAGAGCTAGTCGTTTCCATTATCTAGTTTCCATTTTTCCACCCAACACTTCACATCAAATAACTGAATACAAAAGAAAGGAAATCTGGCTATTTTCTTCCTCATCTTTGTCAACATTAACTAATATATCCCTGCTCTCAAAATGTCTGTTTTTCACCTATGTTTCCATGGAATCTGCTATAGGTTTTTTTTAAATGGTTTGGTTGATTTCATCTGTTTTATTGATACATTTATTATGTACAGAGCTTTCTCATAAAGCAGTCTATATGTTTAAAAAAAAAAACAGAAAGGAAAAGAAGCACTATTCATTTCCTGTTGAGCAATACTCTATCTAGAATGAGTATTTCCAAGTGGGGAGCAATGGTCTGCTGTATATGTTTACCTGACACTTTGTGGGGATAAGGAGATATAAAGAACAATGAAGCAAAGGGGCTAAAATATTATTAGCTCTGATAAATGGTAATTGGAAAAGTCCAGGAACAATAAATACTCAGCACTGCCAAGATCATAGAATTACAAATAAAGGAGCTTCCTAGTGAAAACCTCTATCACAAAGAAGGACAATTCACTCAACCTAACACAGATCAATTCATGTGAGTCAGATGGCTCCCTCAGAGCTAGAATATCGTGGCACAATAATTGCTTTCACTGCAACAACTGTTTACTTACAAAGACTAGCCCTATTGAATCTTTTCACTATCCTTGAAGTACTGAAGTTGTCAAGTACAGAAAACGACTGCAGTAAACAACATCCTTCATCTTCGAAAATGAATCATAGAACTGTAGAGTTGGAAGGGACCCAACCGAGGGTCCTCTAGTCCAACTGCCTGCAGTGCAGGAATCTCAACCCGTGGCCCCCCATCCAATCTGAAACCATCCCGGAGCATCATGTCTATCTTTGTAACACTTTTAACTTTGCTCTAAGTCTCCCTCCCCCTCAACAAGAATACCACCTTTCCCATCACCGAAGGTCTCCAAGTTAAGAGTTCCCAAAGCATCATGATGCCATTTACCTGGTGTGATCGGATGGGCACGCTGTTTACCAGACCCTCTGTGTCGGAGGGGGTCTTCCGTGGAGCCTGCTTAACTGGAGACACCAAGCTCTCAGAGGTACTGCAGCTGACGAGGTGGCAGAGCAGAGTTTGCAGGACAATGTTCAAGAGGCAAACAAAAAAACAAAACAAAAACAAAGGCAAGTGATGGCAAGATGACGTGGCAACGTATGCCAAAGTAAAAGGTGAACTCGGTGAACAACACAACATACATCCTCTCCCTAATGCTGGCTCAGTACCATCACTCCTAAACCTTCTCTTCTCTCTGATGTACATCCAACCCAGCCTTGGGATGGAAGAAAGCAACCCCAATAGAGGCCAGCAGCTTCCACAAGAACCAGTTTCTTGCTAACAGGGTCACATGGGCGACTCTGCCTCAGGATCTAGGGAAGAAGTTCCTTGTTGTCTCTGCCCAAGACATCAGAATTCACTTACACATAAGTGTACAGTTGAAGATGGATTCCTTTCTAACTAGGCGGAAAATTGTTGCTTTTCTAGTGACTGCACCCTATCTTGCAAGTGCCACAACAGAACAGGCGCTCAGCAATGACATGTCCTCAAATGGTTATGGCACTCTCTCCCCAAGGAGGCTTGACTGGTGACCACTGTATTATATTTTAGCTGTCCAGTTAAGACATTTGCATTCTCTCGGGCATATTAACAATTTGTATTTTCAGTGTTGAAGGGATGCAGTATTTTAGGTCACTAGAATTGAAATTTTACACTGCTGTTTTAGATTTAAATTTCTCCTGTTTGTTTTGTTTTGTTTTACTGTATATTTTATTTCTGTTGGCTCTTTTAATGAGCATTACAAACCACTCTGGAATAAATATTATTAAGGGCAGTATACAAATGCCTTAAACAATGTCTTCACAGTAGCTGAAGTCAAGGAATAAATCTTGACCACCAAATTTTTCAGTCCAATCATTTTAGTAAATGGAATGCCTGCAGCAAAGAAAGCATCCATCGACTGGAACAGTGTCTGTTAATATACTGATACTACTATGTACAAAGCTTCGGAAACTTGGGGAACGTCTATTTAGGAAGGGCTTGGGGTACTGATATGTCAGCTATGTCCTTGAACTGATGCACTCTCACTTCTGCTTAAAAACAAACTAGGAATCATTTCAAAATCAATTAAACTGAACATTGACTAAGCATCTCAATAATTCCTAACACGCATGCTCACAGACACCTGAGGACCAAACAATACTGTTATGTATCTGTATGTAAGTTGGTACAAGGTCTATTCTAGATGAGTGGCTGATACCGAAGATGTGGGAGCACAACATGTGTTGTGTTCCACCAACAAGCAGGGAATAATTTGGAGAGGGAAGAAATCACTGGGCAGGAAACGAGTTAAGCTTTCTTCCTCTTTCCTCTAAGAATGGCTTGTCCTGTTTAAAAAGCAGCCATTGGGGTAATGTGTATAGGACCTAACTTGGTCTAGGAGGAATACTCACCACCCTTTCTCTCAATCATTTTGTTTTCTTTACGCAACACACACACACACACACACACACACACACACACAGCGTATACAGGCAGACATGGATCATGACAATATGACAATGACATTAAGCAGAATGCAGTTCCCTGCAAACCATTACTTTCTCTTATCCAACAGAAATATTTAAACATTAAAAAAAGCAGACACGAGATATGCAGCAGTACATAGGGAAATATAGTACTGAGGGGGGAAAGGCATTTCAGTACCAGTAAATGGGCTTCCATTCTTACTGGGATTGAATCACAGCATACAAGGTGGCCAAGGGACTAATAAAATGTCTGGAGTATATCCCAAGAATTCATGCAACCTGGATCTAAAAATAACACTGAATTAAAGGTCTTTGCATGGAAAATTCAGTTATTTACTGAATGATTTTCTCCTCTCACAGTGTACAGAGTCCAGATCCCCCACACTCATTCATGCACATAAGCTTGCTGGCAAGAGATGGAATACTGATTCTGAAGGTAATGAGCATTGCCGTCACAATTGAGGAAATGAGACAACAAAACTCAAGCAGTAGATGAGATGTGCTGCCCCTTCACCAACAGTCTACAAAACAGAATTTCAGCACAAGTGATGGAGATATGTTAGCCGGGTAGTCAGCAAAGGAAACAGAAATGTGTACACGCACACACACGAAGTACCAAAGAGCAACCACCAATGTGATTAGTTACCATGGTATATAGTGGGACCGGAAGAGGAGACCCAGCCCTGTTACATTCCCAATCTTGCGTCTATATCAGGATCTCTGTAAGCAGAGGAAGGTAAGAGCAGGATCCGATCCCAGCACACCAAAGCAGGAAGGAAAAAACCAAAATGTCAGAATAAGAACAGAAGTTGTGACACTGCCATGCAAGGGTTTCCACCACCACCCAAATCAATCCATTATAATGCTGGTGTTAGTTTCATCTAGAAATTAGACCCCTGCAAAATTATGTGGCCCTGCTCAGCAATTACAGCACAAACACACCCTGCCACTTAGTAATCAGTAGGAACAAAGAGCTGGTGTAGTCAGTGAAAGCAACGTTATCCATTTCTACATTGCTGGGGGTTGATTTTAGTTGTAGAAGACAATGCAAACATATTACTGTTCCAAATCCAGCACCTTTAAGTAGCTTTCAGCAATAACACACTGGACAGGGAGTTAAATACCCATATTGGGCTTTGGGATCCTTTAGTGCAGATCAGTGTAAGCTGCCTTTAAGTGGTTACTGAAAGAGCACATGCAGAAAGGAAACTGTGCTTTCCACACTGAACTCTGAGCTTACAATGCACATTTCACTGCACTTGCTCAATCTTACCACTGACTCCTACTGCAACCCCTCTCTAAAATCTCCAGCTGAAAATAAGGTATAGTGGGATCAGTTGCCAATTAAACACACCCATCAGAAACTAGACTTTTGAAGGCTTTGTTCATAGCATTCACTGGATCTACAAAAAGCAGGAAAGAGTTGGGCAGTGGAATGACAATCCCCACAGAACACGTGTGCTCAGGTTTTTGTGTACAGAGGCTGCATTTCTGTTGGAGTTAAGTGGTAAAGCAAACAAGATAAAAGTCCCACCACCACCACCTCAAAGGAACCCACCAACAAAACATTTCGTGGCATTCTAAAAGCTCTGGATTAAAGCTCTAGATTCTACCCTGAAAATACTTTCCAACAGAAGTTATTCAGTGCAAATTAAAAAGGTACCTTAAGTGCAAAAAAAGGAAAAAGGGGAAAAAAGGAAGTCATGCAGATGGTGAAGCCAGTGAAGATAGTAGAGGAACTGTTTTCCCAAAGCTAGGTTTGGAAACCTCTGGCAAGCAGACTGTTGTAAAAGGAGCCACATTCCAAACTCATAAATAGAGTTGTACAATCCAAGATGTAGAGAGTTGTCCAGCCTTTATCTTGCACTTCATCCTGAGCTGCAAGAGCCCCTTTATTTTTGGAAGACAAGAGTGTAGGGCTGCCAGTCTGGACAGCTTTATGATGCACGCTTCCCTTCCAACATGTATAAGGATATCTAGTAGGACTTATACACCCTGAAAGGTGTATGCACAATGAAGTCAACAACTAATAGTTTGGGACTAGAGGAATGTGTCCCAGTGGCCACAGTCTATTTTGTACTATGAACAAAACATGTATGATTGATTCCTGTTGCAGGTTCAGCTACCCCGGCCTTAATAAAAAAACAACAACACCTAAATAAATGAACAAGGGGAGCATCTTACCCAGAGTAATGATTTTTAGAGTTCTTCTTTCTGCATGCGACACACACAACAAGAACGATGAGCAAAACTAAGCCCAGAATTCCACCAATGGATGCCCCTGCTACTAGAGTAATGGGAAACACAGGCAAGTTACCTGAGGAGAGAAGAAAAGTTTCAGTCCAGTCTGCTTAGCTTTTACATTTATCAATATATCATTGGCATTGGCTTTTATATGCATAGGTTAAGGGTGCATCTGTCTCAGTAATGGCATGTTCCTTGGTCTTTTTTATATCCCAAACCTCAAGTAAAACTCATGAGCATGATCTGTGGTGTTAGGTTCATTAGATTTCAATAGCATTTTTACAGCATACCTAGTATAATTAATCTCTCATTTAGCCCATCAGTAGCCCCATGGGAAATATGAGGTTGAACAATAAGTGGACTTCCCCTGAAGGCCAATTTTCACTACAAAAATTTGTAGTCTGCTATGCATACCAGCATACAAAACACACAAACCTCCTGCTGAGTGTAAAAGGCATCTACATAAGAGCCAACGCTTTAAAATGCTCAGAAGAGCCAATCAGGAAATAATTGACCCCTGCTTCCAAGCATTTTCATGAAGAACTTGCCATGTTTTAGATGCACACCCATCACATTTGAGAAGCTGCCTCAACACCACAATCAAGAGTCAGTTCACACATTAATCACAATAATCATAAACTAGTAACTGTTGCCTCTTGGCAAGATTGCACTTGTATTGTATTGTATTGGAGCAAAGGGATACAACTATACTAACTCAGGATTCACAGAAGTACAAAAGCGAACTTGGCACATCTAAGAAACATACATATACATATATACTCATGCCTAACTATGGAAAAGAGCCACTGCTGAGAACACCTTATTCTCTAGCTGTGAACGCCATTTGTTTAAAAGAAGTTATTTAGCAGTCTATTGAACTTTTTCATTCTGAAATCCACCCAGATCTAGTCTATTTCAAATCACTCTTTAGTTATATGCTTGGGCTACATTATCTCTTCTATCTCTATCTACAAACAACTTCAACTGTAAAATAAGCATACAGTAGCTCACTTAATCCTATCAATAGACTACAATATAAACCATTTTTTTCTTATAAATTTGTAGCACCTTCCAAACTGTTTACCAGATGGCTAAGGCTGGCTCTAAGAAGCAAATTAACACCATAATTCCAAAACCTAAATACATACAGGATTTTTAGTTCTTTTAAAACAGTTCAATCTCTTCACAGAAACATTCTGAATAAAATACAAGTTATGCAAGAACAGCCAAAGTAATACTCCTGTACGTGATGGATTTTTGTAGAGTGATTTAATCAAATATTTCACAAAAGCATTCTATCAATCATCATTACTAGCACTCTTGTATCCAGAGACGGCAGTACCTTTTTCCACAACTCTGACTTTGATTTCACTAGGTGTGACAACTATATCTGGAGGGTTCTTGACATCGCAGATGAAAGTGCCATTGTCCCGGAATTGCATGTTGGATATACTGATAGATGCATCTTTCTTGTTAAGGTCACCCGCCCAGCTGCTTCTGTCCTTAAATTGTGTATCCTTCCCAGGATATGATTTGCCATGGGAATAATAGAAGAACTGTAATCGGGAACACAAAACAGGATACAGTGTTAAAATCCTAGTTTTCCCCACAAAGGGAGGTCTGGGAGTAGCTACAATTGCTCAGGGTGAGACCTTATTCTGACTCACTCGCCCCAATTTCTAGCTGCTGCTACAGGATCACTATTGAACCTATTATTGCCATCACCTCATACACCTTTAAACTAGACATATCCTGCTAACAAAACAGGAACCCATGGTGAAGTGTGGGTAATAAAACAACTCACTAAACAAAATCAGAATACATAGGTGGCTAACAAATGTGTCACTAGTTCAAAACAATCCCTCACCTTAATAAGACTTTTGCCACTGAAGTATTGTGGAGCAAGCACAGAAGGACGACTATCCATGATACCAAACATAATAGGATCAACTGGCATTCCGAGGCGGCCTAAATATGTACTCTTACCAGTGATAAAAGTGAGCAGGAGCAGACAGGTATGAAATAGCAGGGAAATGTTTAATCTGCTTTGTCGCAGGCTCTTGTTCAATTCTCATCTTACTTCAATCATCATCTCTTACCGACACAGAAGTAGTTGATCCCTCTGGTTGAAAGCTCCAGGTAACAGTAGCGGCACTGCTGATCACCTCTGAGGATGAAAAGCTGCACGGAAGCTTCGTTTCTGTCCCATTCTCCACAGAGAGTTCTGCTGGTGTGTATACTTCCACAGCTGAAACCTGGGCTGTCAAAAACACCACAAAAATCAGGATGCAGGACCCATTGTAAGCAATGCAGAATGAAATGATAGCATTACACAAGAGAGCTTCATGAAGAGCTACATTAGAAATCTTATAGCCCAGAATAAAAGCCCCATCAAATATCTGTTGAATCGCACTTAGTCCATTTGCTCTGGAAACATCCCGCATTATTTCTGCTTTTGTGTGAGATCGGTCACCGTATAAACTTCATCCTGAATGCAATGCATACCCTCTGAACTTGATCACTGAATATTTACCCAATTGTTGAGTGTTGGTCAAGGGCAACTAACAACAGCTCATCTAAGTAACCGTTCTAGTAAAAACTGGTAAGTTAAAACGTCCTCCAATGACTGAAGAATGCATAGAAAGTTCTTGTGTATTGTTTGCCTATCCATCCATTGGCAAAGGAGGAATTATTATTTGAACTTGGGTAAGGTTTTGTACCTTTGTAAAGTCCTATTTTGCTCAATAAAATTCAGCATTTTTCCACTAGTGCTCTGTCTTTGCTTCAAGGATCCTTTAAAAGGAAGCCTTTTGCCTTTGGCAAAACACCATCCAAGCCCTAAAGCCAGTTCACACAAACCTGGTCAACTCCATACCACATCTACCAAAATCTTGGCAGGTTCACTACCAGAATACACATGATGCACCATGTAATTACAATAAGCAAACATGAACTAAACTCATATGCAAGCTGTAGACAGTCACAACAACGAGTTGTTCTCCAAAAGTAAGAAGTAGTCCTTGTGGCTAAGCTGTGACACTCCAAAAGTTGCTAGACTATAGCTCCCACCCTACCTGACCACTGGTGATGCTGGCTGAGGCGGATGGAAACTTTAACCCAGACACATCTGGAAGGCCAGTGCAGCCTGCCTGCCTGCCTGCCTGCCTGCCCCCGCTTTACATACCTGTCCTGAAGCATATATTTAATTTGCTGCCAACATTGTTCTCAAATGCTTTCTTTCTGCCTTCACTGAAAAGTCTAACATGTCCTTAAGAGTTTCTACAGCTCACAAAAGTGGGATGGTTTTGTATTAATCCTGGCAGGAGCACATTGACAGCAGCTGTTTCATGGCCAGAGACAAGGTTATTTCATATGCTGCACTATCAATGCTGTCCTTCATAGGCTGTGCTAAAGATTCCAGATTCCTGACAGTCCAATTCTGTTTTAACGCAAAAACGCATAAAAAATTAAACAGGCAAATGTGTTTACTGAATGGACAGAAGAGAAAGGGAATCCTTGGGAAGGCTTCTGTGTGCTACACAGTTTGTTAGGGCTCCCTGTGAATTTTAAAAAAGTACCTCAAGACTTACAACTTGTGAAAAGCCATTCAGCTGTTTGTTAGGAACAAGAATGAAAATTGGGAGCTTTCCCAAGCTCAACCCACACCAGGTGTCTTTAGCAAGCAAACAAACCAGCAGGGATTGATGAAACAGGAAACAGAACGTTCTCACAATGGGGAAATGCCTTGGCACTTCTACATTCACTGCACTGCCTTCACATCCAGCATGCGGTAGAATAGAGCAGAATACCACTTAGGCAGGACACTCACCATCACATCATTGTGCAAGCAATGTCTCCCACCTCACTGCTGCTGTGCTACGACACTCAGACTTAAATGCTTAAATGTGCTTAAGAAAACCCACTCACGTTTCTATGATGCAAGTAATCCAGATTTATAGAAGCCTGCATTTATAGAAACCTGCCATGATATTATAGGCTTTCACCTACAAAGCCTTGTGTGGCTCAGGACTCCAATGCCTTAAGGACCACCTCTTCCACACAAGCCAACCCACACCTCACATTCAACATCTGAGGCCTTTCTTTATTTTCCCCCACCCAAAGAAGATGTGGAGGGTGGGAACATAGGAACAAGCCTTCTCAGTGGTGGCTCCATTTCTGGAATGCTCTTCCTAGGAATGCATTCCTAGCACCATCACTGTGTGTTTTAAGAGACCAGGCAAAAACATTATTTACCCTTGCTTTTTGCTCTTTATTTGATGGGTACTTCGGTATGTTTGTGCCCTTTTTTTTTGGATATACTTGGACCTATAGACATCAAGGGAGTTAAATGTGTGTTAAAGGAGCAAAGTGAGATTACATCTGTCTTTACTGCAGCAGTTTTTGAACAGGCCCCTATGTCTGGAAAAGCTCTCCTGGGATGGTGCCTGAGGTGCAGAGACAGAAGATGACAGACAATATTCAAAACCTCAAAAACAACTCAAATGTGAAATTGCTGGCCTATAAAAATTATGTATGCTATCCCTAAGATCCATCTCCATACCTAAAGAATGGAAAGTGGCCAACTGAATGCCTTTTTTTTTTAATGGATCCAGAGAATCTGAGAAATTACAGGCAGTTGTTGTACACTAATGCTTGTTCTAATAAAACTGTTAGAAAGCATTATTAAATATAACATTACAAAAAGTATATAAGAACAAGACTTCTTGAATAATAAGCATGGCTTCTGTAAGGGTGTTTTCTGTGTATTACATAGCTCTTGAGTGGTCCTCATATGGACCACTCAAGCATATGGCAAGCATATGGACAGGAGCGATGTAGTACATGTTGTGTCAGATTTTGAAGGACTCCTGAGTGAGTTTAGCAATCATAAGATAAACAGAAAAGTTCTCTTAGGGATCAGAAGGAGGTTAAAGAACAAGAATCAGAGAATCAGAATAAATGATCACAATTCAGGAATGAATGAAGTTGGATCTCTCCAAGGATCGGTATTGGGACAGCTGTTTTACACTTATTTGTGAATGACCTGAATTTTGGGGTAAGCAGTGAAGTGGCAAAAGTTGCCAACATTCAAAGTGGTTAAAACAAAAAGGGATTCTGAGGTCTAAAAAGGTCACTCAAAGCTTGGTGAACGGGCACTAAAATGCCAAATGTGATTCGCTGTAAGCAAATGTAAAGTGATGCACATAGGGGCAACTCATCCTCCCCCCTCCCACCCAAAAATGTCATATGTACACTAATGGGGTCTGAATTGGGTAGGAAGGACCTTAGGTTCATGGTGGATAGCTTGATGAAACCACCAACCCATTTTGCAACTCTGAAAAATTCCATGTTAACGACGGTTAAGTAATGGTCTGAAAATAAAATTGCCCAAATAACAATGCCATTTAGAAACCTATGGGGCGCCTGCACTTAAATCTTTCACTTACAGTTCTGCTCACCGCAACTCAAAAGAGTGTGGAAAGTTTTAGAAAAGAGCACCAAAACTGACCACGTGGCTGAAATAATTCCCCTACGAGGAAAGGTTAAAACATTTGGGGCTTTTAAGGTAGAAAAGCAACACTAAGAGGGGACATGATAGAGGTCACAAAGCAACCTGTTTTGAAGAAGGATTCTGAGGGTATAGTACAGAGTCCCTGCATCCATGAATTAATGCAAAGACAGCTGCTGATGTCTTTCCACCCCTATAGGCCCAGAAGCATAACTTGGTGTTGGCAAAACCTATCAGGCATTGGAGTCCTTCCACAACACCTGGAGCTCAGCACTCCAGGACCTGCTTTGTCCACAAAAGGAATCCTCTGGTATCTCCAGCAGGAAAAGCCGCCGCTGCTGCTGGAGGGGATGGAAAGCGGTCCTCAGAGCAGCTCCAAGGCAAAGAGCAGTGCAGGCACCCTGCCTAGCCCTCCTGTCCAGACAAGTTCACCTGCTTCTCGGATTTTATTTCTCTGTGTGTGTGTGTGTGTGTGTGTGCGCGCGCACACACACACACACACACGCCAATATAGCTCCTTGCCAAGAGCACAAGAGACCCTAGGTATGCCTTTGATAGGCCCTGGGAATCCAACAGTCTTTTTCTGTGCATATCCTTCTCAAAATAGCCACAAGTAAGCTGAGAAACAGACTCATGTCCCCACTGAGTTTACTGGTTGAGCACAACCAGTACTGCTTGTATTCTGTTACAGTGGAACCTCGGTTTTCCAGCATCTCAGAAGCCGAACAATTTGGAACCCGAATGCCAAAAACCCGGAAGTAATTGCTTCCGTTTTCGAATGCGCCTCGGAAACCAAACAGCTTTTGAGGCACGTTTCTCAATTTTTTCAATGGATTTTGCCGACCGTCCATTGATGCTAGATTTTCGAACATTTCGGGACTCAAACAGCCTTCTGGAACAGGTTACGTTTGAAAACTGAAGTTCCACTGTATCACATTTGTCCTTCTCCAAGTTTTGTTATCCAAGAATATTATACAAGGAGAATTCATAACTGCTATTTAATTGCCAAGAGATCCAGACTAAAAGGCTATGGCTGAAAAGAGATACTGTACCATATTAGCCTACCCACATGGTTTGTCATCACAGCAGCTTTCTAAAACAGGAAGCCTTGGGATTGTGGTCCACCAACTAACACAAAGATGATGAAAATGCAGCTGTGCTTAATTTATCAACCATCACTGTAGGGATATCGCGGAGTGGGCAGTGGGGTCCGGAGGGAGCACACTCCCCACCAGCAGGCAGCCACAGTCTGCCTGCACGCGTGACCTTGGGGTGCAGGGAAAACTCCCCCTCAGACAAGCCATGGCTGTCGGAACATCGTCCCCTCTGTCTGACCTTTTGCGGTCTCAGTAGTCTGCGGTGCCCTGTCTGTAACCTTTTGTCCCTGAGACCTTTTGTCTCCTTCGTCATACACTGTGCAAGGGGAAAATGACGCTATGGAAACAGGTGCCAAAATAACTTTGTACCACCCCACGATCTCGGGACGGAAGATGTGTAAAGGTCACAGCCCAAAATGTATCCGCCTAGCTTGCATATTTGTCTCAATAAAAGGAGGCTCCACAGGACTGGCCAGCAGCTCGCTTCAGCTCACCTGTGCGCAGCTCACCTGATGATCAACCCCCAGTCTTGTGCCTTCCTTCACATCACTACTATGCAGACTAGAGCTCTGCAGGCTCCGAGAAGTTGTAGGATCTCAGACTCAATTTACTCTGCGTAGCTAAGGAACAAGTTAATCTGAAGAATTAAAAGGC